TTTATGTTTCTGTCCTTCCCGTATCTCAACTCCCGGGTAGGTACTTTATGCTAGATTTGTGGTTAGTGTTTCTAACTTTTCTGTATAGTCAACCTCAGGACTGATATTTTATACAAAAATTGGTTTTATGTTTCTGTCCTTCCCGTATCTCAACTCCCGGGTAGGTACTTTATGCTAGATTTGTGTTTAGTGTTTCTAGCCTTTCAGTTAACCTCAGGACTGATATTTTATAGTAGAAGTATGTTTAATTCAATTAGGGGTCTAGATTAATGAATAATTTAAACAAGATATATGTTTTCCCCCCTCTCTCTCTTGAAGGAGCCATCAATTCTTTTCTTGCACTCAAGGACTTCAATTTCTGTCCATAATTCATTTTTTCCCTGATCCTTTAATAAATACACCAGTTTCAAGTTTGTCTATGTAAATGGATAGGTCAAATGTCAAATTGTTCTTTTTAAAATATATATTGCATGAATGTCTTGATTGTTTGTGTACATAAAACAAGTTGTTGTTGTTTGTTATTAAGCACAAAGCTATCTGTGCTTTGCCCACCACAGGTATCGAAACTAGGTTTCTAGCGGTATAAGTCCGCAACCATACCTCTGTGCCACTGTGGGGCACATATAAAACAAAGACAAATGCAGAAGGATAAAACTTGCCTCTAGTGATCGTAACGGGCAAAATGAGGAGAGAGTTTAAAAACAAATGAATAAATATATATATATTTCCTGTTTTTATTGATTTTCAGTAAGAAAGCTTGATGTTCTGAAATTTTATAATTAATATCACAAATTTTATAGTGAAGGATTTCAATTAAAGTTCGTCTTTATAACCAATGTGTTTACTAAGTTGATACCTAAATCTTTTTATTGTTATTATTGTTGTCTTTCCCCATGAATTAGGGATTTAAAAAATTTAGAATTCGGAAAGGACTGTAAAACTAAAGTATATATAAATATATTTAATTATATTTTTTGTTTTCACCACCAGGTGTCAGCTTTCGTGACAACAAATGGTCACCAAGCAACAAGACCCAAACACTTGAAATTCTCTTCTCTAGCGAACGGCCATGTTGGTTCTTCTGTGCTCACTACTGGGGGCGCTTCAGTGTCATCCGGGAATGGCAGCTCGATGGGAGTAAAAGTTTTTGTAAGTGTATTTTTTTTATGAACATCATGACAGATACGTTAATAGAAGAGGAATAAATGTGACCACTTAAATCTTATTCAAAACCACTCCAGCTATAACGCAACTATTTTTTAAAATGAATTAAAAGAAACCCTAAAACCCGGATAACGTAGAAAAGCTTACTTTTATGTTCTTATACTTTTTCAAAATATCACTAAGATTTTCATTATACCAGATATTTTATTTCTTAACGTTGTACTATGGAAAATATTTCGTAAACAGGAGATGAAATGCTATAATAAGTAAGGCTTAATATATAAATATTTGTTATAAATAATTGAATTTTTCAATAGTAATTTCATTTCTTTTTAGACGACCAACATTTTGAAAATTATATATAAACTGACTTGATCTACATAGTATAAAAACAATTATAATCAATTAGTTCCCGAGTTCGAATACGTGCAATACCTCAAAATATTCCCCCCAATTTAAACTATCGCCTGGGGGGTGTGTTATAAGAGTTTAGTTAGTGGGTTCTGCTGATTGGCTGCCTTCTGTCTGGTAAGTAACTCAAAATTAGGGACGACGGCAGATTACCTTTGTAGTTTTTCCCTCATATAATGATATCAAAAAGAAGCATGGCCAGGT